TGTCTGTGACACTTTCTCCTCCTTTCCTTCCTCTTTCTTGCTCACTTAGTAATCGATGAAGGTTTCCCAACAACTGAAAAAGGGTTTATATATTAAAACAGAAACGGGAAAAGTGAATTCTTGGATTGTTCGTTCAAAACAAGCAAGATTAAAATGATCCAGAATCGATATTCTAATCAAAACAGAGCCTGAGACTAAGCAAGTCATTCAGTTTCTCTCACAGGCATTTCATCGAACGGGTTGCACGATGGAAAAAAAAAAAAAATAGATAGACAATTGAACAAAGAACAAAAATCTTCCCCCGATTAAAAAAAAATTTTGAATTTTTATGAGAATAAAGCGCAAATACACAAGTGAATTACAAACTTTGGTAATACCACAGTTGCTGATATAAAAATAATTATAACAGAATTACAGAACTGCTTACTTTAGTCTATCAAACTAAGAAAAGAAAATGACTGATCAACGGTAAACATACACATATTACAATTGTGCCAAGCAGTTAGTTGAGTCTATAGTTTGCAATTCCTTAGAAGATCTCAAACAAGATCGAAACACGACCTTATGACTTTCGAAATTAATTTTTCGCCATCTCATGAATGATAGCAGTGACATATGAGAAAAAAGAGGAAATATTACCACTGTCTAGGTCGAATGAGCAATGCAGAGAGCGACGGAGAGCAACCGTTGTGATCGCCGGAGAGTTTGCCTTCAGCCTGTGTTCGTCGGTTGGCAGATCGAGGGAGGTGGAGGAGAAAGTGGGAGAGATAAAAACAGACAATTTTTTTTTTTTTAATATTTTTATCCTGGCTCGAATCGTTACGTTTGAGAGAGAGAGAGAGAGGATATCAACCTTTACAAACGTGTTTATATTAAAAAACAAACAATTCTTAAACGAACTTTAATTTTAATTTTAATTTTGCTGCGGCAAATGAACAGTCCAATCAAGATATTTTGGGTTTTTAAATTTTCCGCTTAACAAGAGAATCAATAAAGCTTTTTAGATTAGAGTTAGCCTGGGAGGCTGGGAGTATTGATATTGTAAATTTTTTAATTTTTTAATATTTTAAAAATGTATAAAATATTAATTTAATATTTTAATACATTTTTAAAATAATAAAAAATTTAAAATTTTAAAAGTAAAGTATTAAAAATTATTATTAAATAAATGCTTAATAAATATTAACTCGATCAACTACTCCGGCAAATTATATTGCGGGTGTAGCAAATGGCCTAATTATTTTGGGCTTTATATTCAGTCTAATAAGATTTGTCAATGGGCCAACTGTGGGTGTGTTACCATTTTATTGGTCCAAAGGCCTGTAATTTGGATTTCTATTTGCCTACTAGAAGACATGAATTTTTTATTGGCAGAATGTTGAATTATTCTAGCTTTAGTAATTAGTAACTTATTAAAGAAATTGAAGTACTATCAATTTTATTTGGTGCAAAATCTTAGGGAGTTAACAAATTAGAACAACAAAATTAAGATTTTACAGATTTACATATAGTCTATCAATCCCTTGCTCCTACAGTATTACTAGCTTGAGACGCAATTAGAAACATAATATCTTCCCAGTCAAAAGCTGAGTTTTACGGCAAATCTAATTAGAAACGTCCCAACCCCGTGAGTTCCCCCTTTAAATATCTTCCTAATCAAAAGCCATTGGGTTCTCTAGCTCCTTGATTAAGTTATTGCATCATACAAATCATTGCATCCACCACCGCCCCTATTCGGTGCAATTTGGCTATAAAACGCCAAACTTTTTAAATTAACTATTTAATTTCAGGGTGGATTCTTTTAGTTTTAGGGTGGATGCTAGAACAAAGTGTGTTTATCTATTGGCACAAATGCACTTATGAAAAGCTAGGAATAAGAGATATGTTGAGCAATCGTTGGTTGATCTCCCATAGGTACTTAATTGGATTAATTTGATGATCTAGGAACATTGTAATGCCCCATGTGTGGATTTATTTGATCCCACTACTTGTCTAGCGCAAAGACGATCATAGCAATGGTCTATCTAATCTCATACCTCCTCTAATTTCTAAAGGTTAATGTAGATGCTTCCTTTCAACTTGCCAGTGGAGTATCTAATCAAGTCATTATAATTACTAATCAATTTAACAATAATTATATTTGTAATTGAAAAGATCAATTCATTATAATTTACTAATCAATTTATTACAAATAAAAGACAACTGTTTTTAAAAAAAGTCTTTTCTCTCTCTTTCCCCCTTTTCTCTCCCTTCTTTCTTGCTTCTGCCTCCCTTCTCCGGCGCTGCGTTGTTTTTGCCCGGAAGCTCAAAGGCTTCCGGGGTTTTGATGCTTGAGCCGCTGGGCTTCCCGACCGTTCAAGCATGTTGGAGCCGCCCTGTGCTCCCTCCTCCGACGACCCTTCCGGGTCTGTCGGCTTTTGGGTCCCCTTTGGTGACCCCTTTGGTTTTCTTGTTGTTTTGTTGTTTCTTTGTGTTCTTGTATAGTTTGTTTTTCAGATCTGGCGACCCTCGGCCCTATCCTGCAGATCTTGTTAGGTGCTCGCTGCTTTTTGGTTGGCTTGCAGATTCGGCGGTGGTCCCCTCCATCCGGCAGCTTCTAGCGGTGGCGGTGAACGCGGGGGATCCCAGATCTGGCAACCTCGCGACCCACCTGCTGCCTCCAGGGATCGGCCTCCGCCTGATCGGGTCTCCGCATCGGCATCCTGGAGCTTGGCGCACCTTCCACATGGGTAGATTGAAGGGTGTCCCGTTTGGATCGCTCGACCAAAGGCCGCTGTATAGCTGCGCCCTTAGTGGTTGTTCGAGTGTCTTATGCATCTCCCTTCGGCCTCTGGAAATGGGTCTACTCTAGTTTCTTGCTCCTGTTGTAATTTTACTGTTTATTATTCCTGTAGATGCCGTATGGCGGTGTTTGAAATGAACCAATTTCCTTCTGTTCAAAAAAAAAAAGACAACTGTTTTTACTACATTACTAAATGGTTAATGTAATATTTTCATATTTTTAAATATTATAATAAATCTTATAATGAATGCCTAATATGATATGTTGTCTAGAGTGATAAAACTCTTTCATAGGAGGTATAGAAGTTTGTGTAGCTATTTTATCATTTTATTTTCTTCTCTTTTTTGAATTTTTAATCACAGTTTCTTTTTCAATCATGGCTTCTTTCGTTCTCTCTAAGTTTCTAATGGAGAGTAGAAGCATGATGGCAAGGACTCTTGACCTTAAGCGAAGGCACATCCATATTTCTAATAGCATTCCAATTTTTTATGCTGTAAATACCAAAAGGCTTTCGTCGTCAAAAGCAAGCCCTGCCCCTTTCTGAAACCAACTGATCACGGCCCACATTCGAGCATCGATCTTCAAACAATCTCAGGCAAGTTTCAAAACTCAAGCACACACTACTCGACTTTTCATTTCCTTGCAAATAGTATAACCACTATCCTTAGTTCCCTTTGTTAAGGGAGTGATTCAATAACCTTTAGGGTCCATTTGGTTCATGGAAAATTATTTCCAAAAATGATTTTTTCCATTTACTTGTTTTTGAGAATCATCTTGAAAACTAGTCAATGGAAAATACTATTGTATTTTTTTGAAAATCAACTTCTAAATTTCTTTTCAAAAAGTTGTTTTTCTTTGAAAACACGTGGATTTAAAGATATGAAATTGTCAAATCAAGTAGGTTCTAGCACCAATTTTCAATCAAAAAGTTCAAAACCATTGTGCCTCCGTTGGGTTCGATTGGAGTGACTTTTCATCGAGTGCTTTTATGAGTTTTGTTGAAATAGTTATGGTGGTTAGTGCCAACACTGTTATATGAAAATTAAATATATGAATTTCAATATAATACTTACATTTAATTTAAAATAAATTAATAATAAATAAAGTAACCGTTCTTATATTTAAATTACATGCTTTTTTGTTACATTCAATGCAAAATTTTCTCACTTAACATGTTATTTTGTTAGATTGTTGAATTAAAAAAATTTCACATCAAGTATATAACAAATATATATATATATATGTGAGTTAACTATGAAGATTACTCTGCTTATTGTTAATTGAATTTAAATTAAATGTAAATTTTGTATTAAAACTCACATAACTAATTTTCAGATGTTACCTCATTGTCTACACTTCTAAAACAAAGTTTAACTATTTTCATCAAATAAAAATCTCTTGTAATATAGCAATATTCCACTGCTTTAAAATTGTATCAATCATATGCTAAGGCGTCTAGAGCTTCTGTTCCTTTGAGGAAGGCAAACACCATGAGGTCCTTGATCTCCATGGTCTTTCGAAGAAGAAGATAAATACATTTCTCCAATTTGAGCTTACGAAGAAGAAGGTAAAGACATGTGGGCAATATCATAGATGAAGTCCCCAAATATTTATTTCTTTTTACATAAGTCCTTATAGTTTTCTTGATATTCAATATGATTACTATGATGGATTCTTTTTTGGGGAAAATATGTTCGAATGTCAACCAAGCAACCAACGTATTTGTGAAAAGAATTTAGCTTTTTTCTTAAATAAAATTTTAAATTTGAGTCTTTTAAATGGAAAAATAAGTATTAAAAGAACTTCTTTTGTTATAGGGTCCAAGATGACTTGATTTCAAATTAATCTAAATTCAATGTAGTTACCGAATAGTAAAAGTTTAATACAAAAAAAAGCCAAACAATAAAAAAATCTTTTCATAAATTTTTTTTTAGAGTTATCCATACAAAAGAAAATAATACAAATTTTTTTAAAAAAGGAGACAATTATTTCGGTTAAAATTTTTGACCAAAAAATATAGCTAAATTAGAACAAAAATTACTTAATTAATTCGGTCAAAATTTATGACTTAAATGTTTACTATTTTATTATTAATATAATTTGGATAAAATACTTGACTGAATTAACGATAACGCCAATTGGTGCTCTTTTATTTCGGTCAATATATTTGATCGAAATAATTTTAGACTAAATAATTATGTTAAATACATTTTAATCAGACTAAAGTATATTTTGGTCAAAATTTTTGACTGAATTAAGTCTTTTTTCAGTCAAGATATTTTCTTATCCGAAATATTTTGTCCGAAATAAAACTTTTTCCAATAGTAGAGAGTTATTGGATTCCGTTAGTAGACAAAAAATTAATAAACAAACGTTAAATGTTTGATTGTAAGGTAATTAACCGTTAAAGATAATGAAAATGTGGATGACATCCAATTAAGGGTGACATTAAAAAAAGAAAAGTATAGTAAAGGGATGATATTTATGCTGTAAGGAAAGTAAAGGGATGAAATTGAACATTTCCTTGGTTGAGGGATGGTAATAAACATTTTTACAAAGTATGAGGACTTAGTTGACTTGAACGGGACTTACATTTTCATTCATGGCCGCCCATAACGACTTTTCATTCACAGCCGCCCATAACAAACTTCCTTCATTATTCTATGTTCTCACTATTGACGCCAATTCCCACGGTGATGACAATTACAAACGACCATTTACATTTCTGCACATCCCTGTCGACTTTTTCACACGGAAAAGATATATAGATATGTTTTTTTGAACTGTTATAATTTTTCTTTTTGGACATAATTACAATCGGGGAGGGGATAAGGGGCTAAGGAAAAAAGAATTTGTAGGTCTCGAAACTACAATCAATGGAGATAATTTCACTAACTCAACGTCAATAGCACTGGGCTGGAATGTGTGAATCTTTTGAACTGTTATAATTTGAGGTGGAGGAAAGAGATATTTATATAATTTCATTGTATTTTAAATTTTGATACTAACTAAGATGCTAGGTGTAAGTCCTGGTGCAGATGGATGATATTTTGGGCAGCCTAAAACAGGCAAAATGCCAACCAGGAAAAAAAAACAGAAAAAAAAAAGAAAAAAAAAATGAAGAAGAAAAGAAAACAAAGCAAGAGCAAAATGCAGGGGCAAGAGATTAAAATCATATTTGGTGAAATTTTTAAGAGTTTTTATTTTTATTTTTGTATTGATTATGAGTCATAAATTTAAATTTTTATTGAAAATAAAATTTAAAAGTTATTTTTAGAAATAAAAAGAAACGAGTAAAAAGAAAGTTTATGAAAATTACAAATTTAAAACTTT